CGCCGACTGCAAAGGGCAAGGAAGCTTCCCCTGCAGTGGTACTGATGCCTGAAGACTCATGGGAGAACTGGGGACAGAGAAGGCTTCTGTGACAACCCTCCCCTCCACAAACCAAACAATCTAGATGGGAAGCCATTGAAGTGAGCCCTCAACATTTATGTCACAGATCCAGAAGTGTAGCTCCTCACAGTAACTCAACGGCTGGCCACTGGGAGGTTGGCCATGCTCCAGTGAGTATGTGAGCAACACTAAATGGATTCAGTTTTGTTTTTTTTCCCCGAGGAGAAGGATCACAAGGGTGTTGAGAGTAGTATGAACCTGTAAAAACCGGAAAATGAGTGTTAATCAATAAAAATATTATGTTGGATTAAAAAAAGTTTCTTTATCAGCCTGGAATTAATAATGGAACATGAACAGCCAAAAACCATGAACTTTTTGTCATCCAAACAGATTGAAATTTTTTTCTATGAATGTATTTTGCTAATACTAGTGTTATAGCTGAAGACAAATGTTAGGGTGAAATGAATGTTAAAAGTTAGGGTGAGGGAGCCAGGTTCAGGGGTGCATGCCTTCAATCCCAGCACTCTGGGAGGCAGAGGCAGATAGATCTCTGTGAATTCAAGGCCAGCCTGGTCTACAAAGTGAGTGTGGACAGTGAAGGCTAACAAAGAAACACTGTCTCAGAAAAACAAATAAAAACCAATAAACAACAGCAACAATTAGGGCTGGAGTGACGGCTCTGCAGTTAAAAGCACTAGCTGCTCTTCAGAGGACCCAGCCGTGAGGCAGCACATGACTGTCTGTAACTCCCGTCTCCAGGGCTCTGTCATCGTCTTCTGGCCTTACCAGGCCCCCGGCCCCCGGCCCCCGTGTACTGCACATGCCACATGCAGGATGAGCACACATACTCGTATTTTAAGTAAGGGTTAAGAACAGGCTGAGAAAAGGCTAAAAGCTCAAGTGACAACACATGCTGGAGAGGTTGTGGAGAAAGGGGAATCCGCCTCCATTGCTGGTGGGAATGTAAACTTGTACAACCATTCTGGAAATCAATCTGGCACTTTCTCAGACAATTAGGAATAGTGCTGCCTCAAGATCCATCCATACCACTCCTAGGCATTTATCCAAAAGATGCTCAAGTACACAACAAGGACATTTGTTCAACCATGTTTGTAGCAGCTTTATTCCTAATAGCCAGAAACTGAAAACAAATCAGATGTCCATCAAAAGAGGAATGGATACAGAAATTGTGGTACATTTACACAATGGAATACTATTCAGCAACTTAAAACAAGGAAATCATGAAATTTGCAGGTAAATGGGATCTAGAAAAGAGCATCCTGAGTGAGGTATCCCGGGAGCAGAAAGACACACAACTGTATATACTCACTTATATCAATCTATAAGATAGGATAAATATGCTAATATATGTGCACCTAAAGAAGATAAACAAGGAAGAGGACCCAAAGTAAGTAAGATGATCAATCCTCACTTAGAAAGACAAATGGGATGGACAGGGGAAGTAGGAGAAAACAAGTAACAGGACAGGAGCCTACCACTGAGGGCCTCTGAAAGACTCTACCTAGCAGTGTATCAAAGCAGATGCAAAGACTCATAACCAAACCTTCAGCAGAGTGCAGGGAATCATATGAAAGAAGGGGGAGTTAGTATGATCTAGAGAGGACAGGAACTCCACAAGGACAAAATATATCAGGGCACAGGGGTCCTCTATGAGACTGTTTCTCCAACCAAGGACCATGTATGGATATAACCTAGAACCCCTGCTCAGATGTAGCACATGTTAGCTGAGTAACCCAGTGGGTTTCCCTAGTACGGGGAACAGGAACTATTTCTGACATGAACTCAACGACTGGCTCCTTTATCTACTCCCCCCCACCCCGAGGGAGGAACAGTCTTGCTAGGCCACAGAGGAGGACATGGCAGCTAGTCCTAAAGATACCTGATAAGCTAGGGTCAGATGGAGGGGAGGAGGACCTCCCCTAGCAGTGGACTTGGAAATGGGCAGGGAGGAGATGAGGGAGGGAGGGTGGGATTGGGCGGTAATGAGGGAGGGGGCTATGGTTAGGATACAAAGTAAATGACCTGTGATTAAAATAAAAAATAAATATTAATTTAAAAAACACGCTGAGAGCTCTGAGCAAGGAAAATAAGAGGGCTTGCAGCTTGGAAGACAGCCACGCTGACCAGACAAGAGAAAGAACAGGGTGGTAGGAAAAGAGACAAATATGGCCTCCATCTTAACAGACTGACTGGCACCATGTAGCCTCCCTCTGAGAGCACTGGTGAGGGGCCTCTGCAAGTTCTTCTAACAATCTGATTGCAACAGAAAAGCTTTGTAGAGGACCTAACTTGTCCTGGCAGGGAGACCCCAACGTACAGACACAAACACAGAATGAACTCTGAAGTAACAGGAAACTTCAAGCTGGACTGTGGGAGCTGTGTCTCCATGATCTGCTGCCCCGTGTGGCCGATCATTGCCGCTGCCTTGAGGTTCTTCCATCACACATCTGAAACTGAAGCTGGTGGATGCGACATTTCCCAGGTAAAGGTGGCTGCTTCAGAAGCCTCGCTTGGTGGGAGACCTGGCCCCTCAGAGTATGTCCTCTGACCACACATATGTGCAATGGAATAGCCCCCCCGTAATAAATATTTCAAAAGAAGAAGAAATTAGAGCACCAGGGAACTCATCTACACATGGATACAAAAACCAGTCTTCAGTTTCAAAAGACCTGACTTCATCATATCACTCACCTTGTGGTTCTAACACCCTTCTACTGTGGCATCCAGGGGAAGAAATATCCTAAAAGGAAGATTGAGGCACCATAATTTGAGACAGGAAAAAAAAAGTCATTTTACCTAAGAAACATGCCATGAAACTCATACATGTTCGTAAAACTCTAAAGTGAACAAGAACCACCTACTGTGCCGCTCCCCCCTCGGGCACCAGCTCCAGTGGATCCTGGGTACTCAGCTTGGCCTTGTCACCTCCCTGCACTTGCTAAATGAACTCTACTCATGCTCTCTTGACAGAATTCGTTCCCTCAAGAAGCCAGGAACCGAGAGATACAACATGCTTCTTAGAATTTATGTCTTATAGAATAAAGGCTTTCATTTTCAAATGTGACTGCATCGTTTTATGATGTCGAATCCCAGGCTCGAGCTGAAACCCCAGAAGCCTCTCTGTGGAGGCATCATGGGGCAGTGCCCTGGCTAACGGGCTGTGAAGAACAAAGGATGCTGTGCCAAATGGCTCCCTCCAATATGCCCTGTTATTGCATCCACGCTCTAAGAGACTGTTGCCACCCTATTCAGAGAGAATCTTCCCTCTCCAGTTAATCCTCTCTGTAATGCACTCACAGACATTCCCAGGAGTGTGCTGTCCAAATCTCCTAGGAGCTGCTGCTAGGAGACTGTCAACTTGAGAATGAAGATTAACCATAAAAGCCAGCACAGTGCTACACATCTGAAATCCCAGCACTAGGGAGGCTGAGATCAGTCCAGAGCTCCGAGGCTGGGCCATACAGCAAGACCCTGTCTCAACAGCCATCATTCCCTATGAATGTTATTTTTATAAAACTCTGTTTGTTTCTCAGTTTCTCTAATAACCCATCTAGCACACCAACTGAGACTCTTTTATATTTGTTTACTAATAAGCTTCACAGCACAAGAAGTAAGCAGTTGTTACTCTGTTCTTTGCCCTCTAAGCTAATTCGGTTTCCTCCCATCGTACAATCCGCAGATCCTTGCACTTTGTACCTTTCCTTGTTCCAGGTCTTTGCCTGATATCACCTGGACCTCTTGGGACTGCTGAATCCCCTACTTCCTCTTCTAACTGCTCCTCCCCTGCCTGGCAAAAGTCCAGCCCTATTCTCTCTCCTGCTCAGCAATTGCTGTAAGCTGCTTTATTGGTATACCAGAGCACAGCTGGGAAGCAGTGTTTACACAACTTTGAGACAGGAGAGTCTTAGACTAACCACGTACGGGTTGTGTGGTGTGGAAATCAGTGTTTGAATTACACGCTAACCTTATGCCTACAATCCCACAGCCACCAGGCCCCACAAAATTAGAATGATCAGGTATCATACCCAGGGTTGTTGGCTGCATTCCAGTAACAATGCCAGAGCTGCTTACATACCTTGGGGACTGTGATCTGTGAATTCTAAGACATCCTACTTCCTAAATTAAATAACACTCGAGGATAAAGGAAAAAAGTTAACTGGCAACTTCAACTTGGATCAGCAGAGAAAGCCAGAGCTTCGCATCTCTCTCTCGTGCATTGCAGATTACCGGCTGCGTTGGTTACATTTGTGTGGTGGTGACAAAAATATTTGACAGAAACAATTCAAAGGAGGATTTTTTGTTTGCTTATGGTCTCTTTTCTGTGTGTGTGTGGGCGTGGAACTCAGGAATCTGCCTGCCTCTGCCTCCTGAGTCCGGGGATTAAAAGTGTTTACAGAAACCACCCTTGCTTAATGGTGTCATAGGGTTCATTCTGTGACAACTTGACTCTGGCTTCTGTGTCTATTATAAGGCAGAACATCACAGAGACTTGTGCAGAGGTTTTCACCTTTTTCCTGGCAGAATCCTGTTTAACAGAATGTTTCGACAACCCATTTCAAAATAGAGGAGCTCTCGCACCCTGGAGAAACTGAACCAAAATTATACCTCAGTTTTCAAAATAACATACAAGTTGTTAACACCGGTCAGGCATCAAAGTGACAGAGGCAAGGTACTGTTCAGCCAAAAAAGGGGCAAAGAGATGGCCAAGGTGCAGGGGAACTATCTGAGCACAGTGCACTTTGATTGAATCCAGCTCTGGGCCTGGGGGTGTGGCCTCTCAGGGGCGTGGCCAAAGCGCCAGTTTAAGCTCCGCCTGGATTTTAGGGCTCCACTTAAAAGCCAGTCCTCTCTGCAATCAGGGTCATTCTCAGTGAACTCCCACAGAAGAAGGAGGCAGAGGCAAGTCTCTGGGAGCAGCGATGGGTGAAAGGGAAGCCATGAAGCCTGGATGTGTGGATTTAGAGATGCTCAGCTCATCTCCTTGCAAAGTAAAGCAGCAGTCCCTAGGGGAGAAAGAAGAGGAGGAAGACCCTTCTCACAGCGGGGGAGACAGTGGCAAGGCCTCTCCTGGGAGACAAGGTAGGTAGGGTTGACCCTTTGACACACTCACGGGAAACACAAAGGCAGGTGTGGGGGAGGCCAGGAAGCTGGCAGTGGCCTCCCTCCACAGTCCTTAAGGAGATGGGAGTGGGGGAGGGGGAGACAGGCAGGGAGGCTGCCTTTCTTTGCCAATGGCTGTGCCAGCTGAGTGGTCCTCTGGGTCTGTCTTCTTGGGAGTGTTTGCTGAGGAGGCTTGGGAACATCCATTAGTTACAAGCCTGTGTAGGCATTGGCAAAAGAGGGAATGGGGGCCTGTGGGGAGCACGGGATTTCAAGGCACTCTTGGCCTTTTGGAGGCTGCTCTGGGGCTTCCCGGGAAGGCATAGGGGCCCTTCGCTGATCACCTGTTCTGCCCCCAGAGAACACCTGGCAGGACCAGGAGGCCAAGCAGCGGAGGCACAAACCATCTCGGCCAAGCTGGAGTGACTCCTCCTGCAGAAGCCACAAGGGAAGTGCCAATCCTGAAGAGAAGAGGAACGTGAAAGCGTGTCCCAGCAGAGGCAGAGGAAGGGACAGGGCTGAGTCCAGTGGAGCGAAACAGCCCTGCACAGGAGGTGAGTCTGGGCCTTGGAAGAAGCAGGTGTGAGGAGGGCCCAGGAGCCCTGGGAGCTCAGCACAGCCTGGAGAGAACACAGCTGGTCCTGACTGGCTAGAGGGGGCTTCAGGGCCACCAGGGCCGAGGGGATTGTATCTATCCTGGATGGGACCTGCCTTTCTGGGTTATGGAAAGGGACCCTGTGGCGCGGGGCTGTGGTGGGTGGCGGTCTGAGTGAAATCAGTCTGCCAAATGAGTATTGCCCGTTGTCTCTGCCACAGATTCTCTGCACACCAAGGCGCGTGTCCGGGGCAGAAGTCCCCATCCAGGCTCTCCAGCGAGGGGTCCGAAGCGCAGACGCTCTGGAGACAGTCGCGGTGAGCCAGCCAACTGTCCCAAGAGGCGCAGACAGCATGGTCCAGAAGCCAGTTCCTGCCGGATGCTCCCACCGCTGTCCAGAGTCGTCATCAACGTGGAGGCCTTGGAGGTGATCCTGGACGACCTGCAGGCCCCTGGAGGCGCCTACCTGCGCGTGCCCCATAGCAGCACGGAGCCCAGCGTCTCGCAGCGCGCCTGGCTCACTTGGCAGCTGTCCCACGCCGGGGCTACGCTGCACTGGGCGCTTCACACAGTCGATTCCATCCTGGCTGCGCAGGCCTGGATGCCCAGATACACCTAGTTCCACGCCGATTCCTCGGAGGCCGTGCCCCAGGGCCCACCTCACAGCCTTGAGTCTGCCTCAAGGCCAGGTGACCCGGCTGCGCAGAAAATCCTGGAATACTCGCTTGGGGGCTTGGACTCTGCAAAACCTTTCCACCCGCACACACACGCTTTGCGTATTCCTGGACAGAACATTGACTCTTGGAACGAAATCAGCAAATGGAGCTTGGCTTTGCACAGACACTCCCTCCTCTTTTGGACAGGATCCCTGATGCCGAGTAGGTGAGGAACTTACCGTATCAGGCACAGGCCAACACACCAGACAGACTCGGCCTGCTGGGGTCAAGCTCCATTCCTTGTGGTGCTAGCAGCCCGTCGTCGCAGCTGCCAGGCCCTTTCCTTCCGAGCACGAAGCAGGCTGTGCCGCCGCCCTTGACTCTTCCCTGCCTGGCTTCTCTCTGCTGAGCACTTAGACACGGCCTGACCTCCGCACTTGGCCTCAGCGTGGCCAACCGGACTCCCGACTCTTCTAGCTTCTGCTCGTTGATGAAGTTCAGGCCGCCACTCAGGGTCACTGCATTTTCTCTGCGAGAGAATCAGCTGGTTCCGCATTTTAAACCTGTCATGTGCTGACTGCCCCCATCGGCTTTTTTATTTTCTTTCTTAGTGGAATCCTAATTTTTAATGCTTGATCGTTTTGTTTTTCACTTTTCTGTACAGATATTTGTCTACATGTAAATCATGTGGTTTAATTCCGCTCTCAATAAAGTATGTACTTGTACATTATCTGCCCGTGTGTGCTCGTAAATCACAGCTTATTTCCTTGTCATCATTTCTGTCCTTCTCTTGAGTGTGTGTGGCGGGTATGGTGGATGGGTGCGTGTGCACCATGCCTTGTAGACAGAGGTCATTGCACAGCTTTTGAGAGTCGGCCCCTTCCTCCCTCCATGCCTGTTTTGCAGCTTGAGCTCAGGGACTGAGGCTCATGAACATTTGGTTAGTTGGCTTGAACCTGGGTCTTAGTAGTTGTCCTCAGTGGTTGTCTTTGAACTTGCTCTGTGGACCAGGCTGGCCTCTCACTCACACAGATCTGCCTGCAGCTGGCTCCCAAGTCCTGACATTAAACTCCTGGACCAACGATCCTGCTCCCCTGACCTACCTTCCTTTCTTCCCTTCTCTCTTTCTCTCTCTCTGATGATTTTCATACCACCAGACTTTGGGCATTAGTGTGTGTGTGTGTGTGTGTGTGTGTTACCATTTTTTTACATTGACTTTTTGATGTGTTAAACTTTTCCATTTATTTTTCTATTTTTTATTAATTTTATTTCATTTTTAAAGCTATTTATTTCTTTTTTAACGTTTTTGTTAAGATTTCATTTGTCTAAGTGTAAATCATGTCATGTAAATTCTTGTGTCAACAAAGCATTTATGTTTGTATGTTACCTGCTTGTGAAAATGATCTCCAAGTACTTCCTTGGATATTACTTTTTTATTTATTATCCCTTCCTCTTTGTCCCTCTTTGTGTCCGGTGTGTGGTGTGTGTGTGTGTATGTGGATGTGTGTGTGTGTGTGTGTGTGTGTGTGTTTGCCTTGCTTTGAAGATGCTGTGACACTCAGGTCTATCCTTCTACTGTATGTGCTGTGTAGAGTGTCAATAGGCTTCCTCACAAGCCATCTGTCGCTGTGGTGTGTCTGTGCTCTGCCTCCTGAGCCTCTGCCTCCTTCTCCAGCCCTGGCAGTGAGTGAATCTCATGGAATCACAGCTGGGGAGACTTAGATCCCAATACTTATTCTATTAGGAAGCTGAGTAATACCCTATGAGCAAAGTTAAAGATGCACCGGAATGATCATGGTGTCCACAGTGTTGTGAAAAGTTAAAGGAAAATTATTTTGGGAAATCACTCAGATGTTGGACTTTTATCTAAGGAGACTATCTGGGCAAGGTACGGAATCTGACACGATAAAATTTCTTCAGAATCAGGTTGATGTAGCTATTTATGAAGTACAAAAAAAACAAACAAACAAAACAAAAAAAACATTACAAAGGTAATTGAGAGAGGAGAGAGAAGAGATGACCACAGCACTCAGAGGAGTGCTTATCAGACAATGCAGATGTGCTGTTCTGTGTGGGACCTGAAACCAAAACCCATTAGTCTGTGTTCTAATAAAACATGTATTTAAAGTCACATGTTCCTCCTGTACTAAAGAGAGAGATTGTCAAAAGAGACTCTAACAGAAGAGGGGACAGATAATGGGGACCATATTTGAATGCAATTTAACACACAGTTAATTTATAACAAACTCCTCAGGTCCTTGAATTAATGCCAGAGACAAGCTTTACAAATCTTACTATTGTTTTCAAATCAGTCACTAACCGTGAGATAGAGAAATTACTGCAATCTGGAGGACCAAACTAAAAAGAAAAATTGTGTGGGCTTGGAGGTGAAGTAAAAATTGTTTTGAAGTAAGTATTCTAAGAATGCCATTTTATAATATAGCAAAAAAAAAAAAAACAACAACAACAACTTAATAAGCATTGTACTTAGAAGAAAGACTGAGTTTATAACATGTCCCCAGACTTTAGTAGGCCATGATGCCTTAGCACAACTGACTCCATATGGAAGTGCCATTCAAACTGTAAACACAGCACAGAGCATCAGCTGCCAAAACTGAAACACACACACACACACACACACACACACACCAATAAACAAACAAACAAACAAACACAACAAAGGCCTCTTCCTTTAAGCCCATATTGTTCTGGGAAAGCTCACATGTAGTTACCTTGCTTTCTGGCTTCTGCTTCTGTTTCTGCTTCGGCTTCTGCTTCTGGCTAACTGTTCTTGTTAATTGAAATAACAACTCAGAACATGGTTTTTGTACTTTAAAAGTCAGCCTTAGAAAGGCTTAGTTCTACACTGGGCTCCCAAACACCCAGTGTAGTCAATTGCTGGCTAATGAAGACTTTCCATTGGCTTAAACCCACGTCCAAGCACACTTCTGTGGTGAATGCCCCACAGAAAGAGGCCCCAGAAAAGGGAGATAAAACTATTGCTGACAGGCAGACAAGAGGAAGGTGCAAACCAGGGTGTTTGTTTTTAATTTGGGATTTAGCTCAGTATAGAGCAGCTGCCTAGTAAGTGCAAGGCTCTATGTTCTGTCTTTAGAAGGGGACTTCAGAGAATATTGTAAGCTCTAAAATTTTTAGTGCCTGTGAGAAATCTCAGAGCGTAGAGACCCTGGCAGTGGGTAAGTCTGAAGAACTGAGTCAGATCCCTGAGCCGGCAAAGAGAGAACTCGCTCTACAGATCTATACTCTGGCCTCCAGAAATCAACCCTCTCTCTCCCCCTGTGCACACACATTAAATAACTCGATTTTTAAAACTTTATTCTACTTTGGCCTTTTGAGACTAGTGCTTCGCGTAGCCCAGCCTAACCTTAAACTCATTCTGTAGACCAGGCTAGTCTCGAGAAGACCGTCTCCCTGTGCCCCCTGTGTTCTGGGATTGCTGGCAGGGCCTCCACATTCATTTTACCTTCAGACACGGTGTTAAGTCAATAAAGAGAACGATGTATTTGCAATAATCTCATCACCTCTGGCCCACTGCAAATCCAAACTGGGGAATGAAGGCTGTGCAGTCTTGTTCTTTGCCCGGTATCAACAGAGCACCTTGATTACACCTATTTGCAGATTAAATCTACATAAAATCTGTTAGTGAATTAACATGTCAAGTGGTGCACTGAGAATTCGTTTTAACAGTTGTGCAGTTCTGCTGAAATGTCTTTACCCAAGCTGGGCTTCTCCCCGGGAATGATGTGTTCACTGGCTGCCTCTTTTTGGTTGTTGTTGTTTTCCTCCATTTTACAGTATCCCAGAGAATTTTCTCAGCAAGAAATTATCTTCTTCCTCTAAATCTATTACTAATCTAGACTGGCTTTTCTTGTTTTTCTTTTTGTTTGTTTGTTTCTTGGTTTGTTTGTTTTCACTGTACTATTCGTCATCCTGTCTCTGAGGTTTCCGTGGCAACTGCAATTGGAAAACCCTGTGGAAAAGCAATTCCAAGTTTTGGAACAGAAGTCCTCGAATCAAACCTCCCTGCGCGCCGGGGTTTCAATTCTGGGGTCCGAGTTCCGCAAAGCAGCTCAGTATACGGCTATAACATAATGCCTGTGGTATTACAGACATACTGAATAGAGGATCGCTGAAATTTTAGGAAATCAGTGTTTTGATGGATCTGCCTGGATAGTGACGCTTGGGGGCGAGAAGGCATTTGTAACAGTCAGTGATTGAGCATGGGTCCGGAAAGCTAACAAGATCTGAAATGAGGGCTGTGGATGCATCAGAGATGAGGAAGGACTGGAATTTATACCCCGCACTTCCTGCAGCTCCAGGACCCTGGATTAACCAGCAGCCCACCCTGCTCTCACTGTGATCCCAGAGCCCGCGCCTCCGCTGTACGGAGGGGTCCATGCCAAGATGGCCGCACCCACAAGCAGTCTCCGCAGGGCGCCGCCATCGAGGCCGCGGGACCCTCATAAGCGGTGCTCGGGGTGGCCGCCATGACAGCCTCTGACTCCAACCAGGTCCTGACAAAGCCTGAGGCGGTGGGCCGGAGGAGCGCGGAAACAGCGGACCGAGCCAGGCGTTCAAGGGGAATGGCTGCATCCAAGCCCGCGGACAGCGATGCGGTGAGGGCCGTAAGGGTCTGTGGGCGGTATGGCTGTCAGTGATTGGAGGGTGACTGGGGTCTGCGAAGTCGAGATTTGAGATTCTGTGGCGTCGATGTTGAATATTCTTTTGGGAGGCCCGTGTTCTAAGGGACCTACGTATTAGGGTATTATGGGCATATGGAGTATTAAGTTCACTGCTATAACGTAATGCCTGTGGTATTACAGGCATATGGAATAGAGGATTGCTGAAATTTTAGGAAATCAATGTTTTGATGGATCCATCAAAACACTGGATAGTGACGCTTGGGGGCGAGGAGGCGTTTGTAACAGTCAGTGGTTGAGCATGGGTCTGGAAAGCTAACAAGATCAGAAATGAGGGCTGTGGATGCATCAGAGATGGAGAAGGACTGGAATTTATACTGTATGGGAGCTGGCGTTATAGGGAAATAAATAAATAAATATATATATATATATATATATATATATATATATTTATATTTATATTTATATGTTGGACTTGCCAGTGGGGCAGTGTTGAGATTTGGAGAATTGGCTCTTTTGGAATATGTGAGGATTAGAGGTTGGTACCTTGGGATCAGTAATGGTATTTCTAGAAGTCTAACCAGCAGTGTCTTTTAGAGCCGGTGTTTTGTGTGCTGTGATGGGTAGTGGGGAGGCTGGAGGCTAATGGGAGGATGATAGTTGGTAGAATACGAGGAGTCTTATATTGAAGTGTCTACTGGAACGAACGGTATCAATAGTTCTAACTGTCCCATTAGTGATGCGGTTTGTGGTTGAATTATTATTTATTAAAGATTCTTTATGGTTCTGTGGCTATGATTCTGAGGTCAAGAGTTTGTGAGCTTGCAGAGCCAAATGACAGAAGGTTCTGTGAGGTCACTGACTGGAGTTCAATGGAGGCTGGTGACTGGTCTGTGAAGAAGGGTAATGGAAACTTCGTGGTAGAGGAGGTTTGTGAAGGTTAGTGACTGAGGAATATTTGGGTGTCGGTGGTTGGAAAACTGTAGAACAGATTATAAGATGAGCGCCTATTTTATGCCAGAGAATGTTTTAAGTAGCAAGCCACAGGGCCAGACTGCCTTTTAATGTCCTAAATTTGAAAAACAGGAAAGAGACAATAAAATGTAAATATAAGTATAAATAAGAGAATTCCAGGCGACAGTTGCTGCTATGAAGAAAGTAAAAGAGGATCATGTGGTAGAGGGGCAGCGGGGAGTGTGAGTCTCTCAAGCTTATCCTTTGAAGGAATGGCAGTTGACTTGAACACAGGGCCAGGCTGTGGTTAATGCAGAACTCCAGAGAGCATTCAGAGAAGAAAGAATGTCAATTGCTAAAGTTTCAGGAGAGGAATTAATTCCTCGTTATACCAAATTAATGTGGCTGGAACAAGAACACACACATAGGAAAATGTGAATTCAGGGGTAGAAGCTCATGTAAGATATCAGCTAGTGTTGGATTTGGGTTTTATTCTAATTTCAATAAGGAACCACTGGAGGTTGAAGCAAGGAAGTGATTTTTTTCTGATTGATACATCAAAAAGAATATCACGGCTACTGAACTATAAGCAAAAGTCAGTACCAGAAGATCAGAAATTTATTGCAATGGTCAAAGTCAAGAGATTATGGTGACAAGTTGGAGCTTTACTGGAAAAATGAAATCACATTCAAAGTATATCTGGATGTGAGGTTATGGGGCTTATTGGTGAATTAATATGGATAATGAGATTGAGATCTAGATTTTGGCTTTAGGAAATGGGGTCTAGGATCTTTTATATACCAGCAGATGGTCCTGATGTAACCCAGTCCTTAGCAAACACGTCTTTGGACCTTTGCTGGAGCTTTCCAACACATTTCACATGTGTTGCCAGAACTTGTTTCTGGAAGAATTGTGTTCTGTGTGACTACTGCAAAAGGATTCTTGGATGCCTGTGTTTGTTTTCATCCTGACTTCATCCCTTACTGATTAACTGATTTGCTTTGTGTCCTTTTAACTATAATGAACTATAGCTGTGACTTTACTTACCTGCTGAGTCTTGTCATTCTTCCTGTTGAACCACTGAACCATAGGAGATTAATGTACTAAAAGCTGGTGAATCTATAAACAGACTTGAGAGAGTGAGAGTGGTTAAGAAATAGTGGAAGCAATCATTTCTATCCATCATTAGATCCTAAGGTACACAAGCCATGGAGAAATATTGAAGACAGCCTCTGCTTGAGATCACTGTAAGGAAGCAGGATCCTCAGGAGATGGGTGGATTTTATTTAGAGTGAACGGAGGGGCTAGAGCTGGTGTTTGCTGACAGGGATTTGGGTTTCTGTAATGCCTACTGTTAAAGAGTTCTGTTGCTGTCAGTGATTGGGGATTAATCAGAGGAGATTTGAGGACTTCTAAGAGACAGAGATCAGTGTGTCTTATGGGCCTCTGTGATTGAAGAACAGAGGAGCAACTGACTGGGAGGATGTGCTGACCTTTGGTGGTGGGGGGGTGTTGCTGAATTAGAATCACTCAAGTGATTAAGGAGGGCTTTACTGACCTGGGGCTGGGGGGCCAGTGGCAGTCAATGTTGGGGTTATTCAGAGTGCAGACTGGAAGTCTGTGAGGAACGGATTAGCGATATAATTGAGTCATATGTTGCTGTTAACATGTTAAGTAAGCATGTTTAAATGTATATTGTGGTCAATAGTGGATAGTTGAGGTAAAAACAAATTCTGTTGTTTACCTCCTCCGGAATGTGAAGTATTAAGAAGTACCAGACTTGAAATAAGAGTATGACAGGGATTGGTAACATTCAAAGATGTATCTGTGGCTTTTACCCAGAAGGAATGGGAGCAGCTGGAGCCTGCGCAGAGAGACTTGTGCAAGGATGGGCTGCTAGAGAACTGCAGGAGTTCAGCCTCAGTGGGTAAGGACGTCCTCCTCCCCAGAGCACGTTTACTGCAGTTCCTTCTTCCTCCGGTCCCTGATGTCTGCCCTCCATTGTTGTTGTTGTGTTTTAGAGGTTATTTATACAGCATTCTGCCTGCATATGTGCTTGCATGCCAGAAGAGGGCACCAGCTCTCATTATAGATGATTGTGAGCAACCATGTGGTTGCTGGGAATTGAACTCAGAACCTTTGGAAGAACAGTCTACTCTTAACCTCTGAGCCATCTCTCCAGCCCCTTGTTTCTTTTTGTTTGTTTTGTTTTGTTTTGTTTTTATTGTTGGTGGTGGTGGTGATATTTGTGGTGGGAGTAGGTCAGGAGTTTCAATCCATTTTCAGTACTAGGAAGGACACTTGTACCATTGTCAACAAAAGGGAAGGCCTACTCAGTTGAGGTGCATGGACATCCTTATTGTAAAACATCAGGAGCCAAATATGTTCATTAGCCTTAAAAGGCCCTGACACTGGGTTTTTGATTTCTGAGATGGTTGGTCCAACACTCAGTCTGTACTATTTCTTATGAGTAGAAAATCAAGATCCCGAACAAGGCATGATCTCTCGGTTGGAAAAAGAAGAGCCATCGTTGGAAAAGGTGAAAACAAACAACCCAAGTAGTCGGAACAAAATAGCAAGGCCTGTAAAAACAGGAGCCAATGCAGGTGAGTTTTTAGTTTCTTGATGGTACTTTTGGAATTTTTCAAAGTAAAGGAATACTCTGCACGTTCTTATTAGGACTAGGAATATAGCTCAGTATAGATAGTGATTATTCACGAGGACCTAGATTTAACCCCAATATGAAAATATATTTTTTTTTCTTAAAAGTCCCATATTTTCTTTTCTTAACCAACAAATAGTAAAACAAACAAACAACAACAACAACAAAAAAAACAAAACAGAATCTCAGAATCTCTCAGGAGAAAAAGAATTCAAACTACAGATATTTTCTTACTTTGAAGATTCTAATACCTCCTTTTTTTGTAAACCTGTCCACATGAGAGGCTCATGACAAGCTCTTATTTTATGGAGAAGAAAAAAATGGGTGTGTCCACTTAATTGTAACTTAATTTGCCACTTTGTAGGTTCCTTTTTCTCCCTTCCACCCTTCTCAACACTAGATGGGAAAGGGCAGCGTTCTCATTAGATAACTCCCTGCTCATGACTGGCATCAAGTTCCTGGGGGCAAGCTTGGATATCTATTTCCTCCTCCTCTTCCTCCTCCTCATTCTTTTCTTTTTCCTCTTCCTCTCCTTCCTTCCTACCTTCCTTCCTTTCTTTCTTTCTTTCTTTTTTCTTTCTCTCTCTCTCTTTCTTTTCTTTTTTCTTTGTGAATGACTACTTAACAAACAGCAACCAACAGCATCCAAATACCAAGCAGCCGAATTCTAAAGGTCACACACTCAAAGAAACTATCTGCAGCTGACAAAACCATGCCCCTGCTGGAGCAAGAGGCAAATCATAGTCAGCTGCTGTGAAGCAGCCTCATATCACCACACCTGGGATTAAAATGAAAACATAGCCGAATGATATTTCTGTGTTTTTAAAAGAAACCAAAATTACACAATTCCTGCTACACTTAATAACTCTTAAAATCACTGCTTGGATATGGTAGTTATTCATTTTAGCTCACTTTCAAATGGCCAGAGAAAGGCACCCGGCTCAGAGGAGAAGGCATGCATAATCTCTTCACAGGAGAGATGTGATTCAAATAGCCATGCTACTGGGGAAAGGCTTGATCTTCCTTAAAAAGCAAGAGTATAATCTGTACATCCTGACTAAATAGGGCCTTTGAGCCTATAGTAACTGGTTCCTTCACGAAGCCCTCTTTCCCTACCTGTGTGCCCACTGCTTAGCTTTAGAAGACTTTTTACAACTCTTTCAATTTCATTTCAGTTTACTATATTTCAAAAAGAATCCTTTCTTTATATCCTCAATTTCCCTCTTCCCTCTACCCGCACACCACACCAACTTACTAATGAGTCCCGTTTTCTTCTAATGAATTGAGAAATTGTTGGCTTCATCTTCTTTCTGCATCTCTGAGAATGATGCTCCTGTTTCTAATGATTTTGTTTCCTTCCTTTATCTGTGTTACATGAGACATCATCATGTCCATACATCCCTAATCCCGGTGACGACTGGAATGAGATGTGCTCCATAGCCCCCAGAGCATTTGAATGCTTGGTCCCCAGTTGGTGGTAGTATTGGAGGAGGTTTAGGATGAGGTCTCTTAGCTTCCTGCTTCATGACTGTCCCTTGCTGCAATGTCTCCATGCCATGACAGACTTATCTCTTTGAAACCATGAGACCCCCTCCCACCTGTCCCCTATGGCCTTGGTCATGTTGTTACAATAGGAAAGTAACTAATTCAATCTCTATAGTCAACCTGCTTGCCCTCTCGTGTGTACGTTAATAGCTTTGATTAGCCTTGTTTTTAAATGGGTGAGTGTGCTCAGCAGCCTCCCTTACTTTGCTGATGGTCCCTTAAGTCCTGTCTCCTTATGTTCTAGTCCCTTATTGCTTCTCTTTCAAAAAGATCACCCATTATGCAAAAACAAGCTAATTTGTCCTCATTGGCAGCTTCTAAAGGGACATCTCTGTTGCCTTTGTCTTACCTTTTTATTGGAGCTGCTTGTAGGAAATTTTTTCTCAAGAGTCAGTTATGAAAAGTTTCATCTTTATTAGTTAGAGGCTCCTTTCATTTTCCCTGTTTTGACCTTTGAGTTTAGCCCTGTGTTCCATGATCCTCTTGTCAAGTCCCATTTGTTTTTTCTTAGTTGTCACTGACATTACACAAATCAGTTATTTTATCCCTAAGTTCAGTTCTTAGGAGGATTTAATGAGTCCACTTTCCTTATAGGTTTGCTGGGCCTGGTGAACTCCATGCTTAAATTTCTGAAGTTACATTTGGTTTCTCTTAAAATGCAGGTTCTAGTTGTTGTATGAAATTAAGGAAATTATTTTCTTGGAGTGGGGGTTCAGTGCATGCCTTCAGCCTCAGCACTCGAGACAGAACCAGGGAGATCTATGTGAGAAAGAGGTTATTCTGGTCTACAGAGTGAGTTCCAGAACAGCCAAGACTACATAAAGAAACCCTGTCTGGAAAAACCACAGAGAAAGAAAAGAAGAAGAAAGAGAAAGGAAAGGAAAAGAAAAAATGATTTTACCCTCAATTAATTATTATCCTGTCACACCCAAATCTGCCCTGGTATGATCTTATTACATCTTAGGACAATAATTCACAGTCTCTTTACAGCGAGGTGGGGAGTAGATATCAGTTGTGGCAGCTCAGTCCATCCTTGTAAGAAGTTTGTTAGGGAGATGGCTCAGTTTGTGAAGTGCTGGCCACACACGCAGAAACCTGAGTTCAGATCCTCAACCCCGAGTAAAAGCTGTGCCTGGAGGCGCACACCTGTAATCGGCCACCAGGGAGGTAGAGACAGGGGCCTGGGACTGCTGGCCAGATGTCTAGCCAACTGGTGATTTCTGGGTTTGGTGAGAAACCGTACTGCAAGGAAAAAAAAAAAAAAGATGAAGAAAACAATCCAGGAATACTTTGGTGTCAAACTGGCTTACACATGCATGGGCACGTGAATCTGTGCACATGTATACACATGAACATGTACACACACAGGCAAGGATTATTTTAATGTTACATGTCAAGAGAACAGATATAAGTCTTGATCACTTTCTTTGTTCATTTATTTTGTTGTTGTTCTTTGAGACAGGGTTTCTCTGTGTAGCCTTGGCTGTCTTGGACTCACTTTGTAGACCAGGCTGGCCTTGAACTCAGAGATCCGCCTGCCTCTGCCTCCCTGAGTGCTAGGATTGCAGGAGTGTTGACCACTTTCTTTTAAGAAGGAAATTTGTTCCTGTCTTCCTCATCATCGCTGGGTATCAGAAGGCTTGTCCTTATGCTACCGGCTTATCTTCATCACAGGGGACTGAGTCTCTTAAGAGTCCCTGGATGAAGAAGCAGCTAGCAATTCAACTTCTCTGGGCGCCATACTATAGCTAACTTCTATCAAACCTGTCACTGTCTCTTTTCCTCTGTCTCTGTTTCTGTCTGTGTTTATGTCTCTCTGTCTCTGTTTCTGTGTCCCTGACTCTGTTTCTCTCTGTGTATCTGTCTGTTTCTGTCTTTGTCTATCTCTGTCTCTCTCTTGTTTTTTAAAGATGAGTCTTTATTATGTAGCTTGTCTGGCTTGTCTGGAACTCACAGAGATCTTCCTACCTCTGCTCATGAGTGCTGGCATTAAAGATATGTGCCACCATACTCCACCAAAAACCAAATCCCTTAAATATTCTCTATAAAAGTAAGAATTTCAGCTATTGGTTCAGATACAATTATTTTCTCCATATAAAATTAGTTTATCGCTGAAGTGGCTATTCACTCTTTTTTTATGTACATAACTTTTTTTCTGATTTTTCTTTAACAATTTTATTTACTGATTTTTATGTATATGCGTGCTTTGTCTGCATGTTCACCTGCATGTCAGAAGAGGGCATCAGCTCCCAGTGTAGATAGTTAGAAGCCACCATGTGGTTTCTGGGAATTCAACTGAGAACCTCTGGAAGAGCAGACAGTACTCTTAGCCACTGAGCCATCTCTCCAGCCCCCGGCTCTTCACCCTTGCATATGTCTCTCTTTTAAATGTTTCAAGTTCTTATTTCTGATGATTTCCCCACTCTTTCTATGAAGAGAACTAGTGGAGGGGTAGTCTATGAGTGCCAATCTTAGAGAAAAGGAGTGATGTTCTGCCGGAGCCCACCAGCAGAGGCGAACGGTTCTTGAGTTGGGAGTGAGGATTAAAATTAATAAACTAACACATAACACACATGGAACTTTTCCAAGAGGCTCCAGACTCCCAGCCAGCAGCAGCCTGACTTTATTGCAAAGAGCTTTTAAGCCACAGTAAAAGCATCTCAGAACAATGGGTTAAATTTACAAGGAGGTGAAGCTAGAGGTTTGATCTTCACAAGCTATCCCACCTGCTGTCACAAACAAAAGGAGATGGACTTGCAAATTCTTCCCTGACTTCAGTGAAGGCCTGGTAAAAGCAGTGAGATTTAAATATCAAAGCAGCTGCCAGATCAATGGCTCCTGACAAAGTTCTAAGATGTCTCTAAAAATATAGTTGTGCAATGTGCAAGAAAAAGAATATGAGCAAGTACTTAGACCCATAAATGAACCTAAAATTTATAATCTGCTGTTAGGATGATGACAGGAACAAAGGTATATACTTGATAGCAAACTTGAAAACCAGAGGCAAATGTTCATTGTAAACCCAGATGGTGTAAAGCATTTCCCAAGCTAATTACTAGGAATTTCATGGCTTTGAAAAGGCATCAGGGAACTTAGAGGAACTGTGGAGTTGTTGAGTGTTTAAGGGAATGTCCTTGTTGCTCATGCATGAGGACAGTGGAGCATCCTTCCTCAGTCGTCTATTGGCTTCTCAGTCCTCCTTGGTAAACGTATTCTCCATTTGAGTTTATTTTAGCTAAAAATAGAGGGATTTGTTGAAGAAGCATCAGTGCATCTCTTATAACCCGAAAGCAAATACTTTAGCCAGAGTCTACTGGGAACAAGAACTGGTGGAGTGGAGGTCACAGGGAGTTGAAATTATCCACACTGTATTCTTGAAGACAAACAGGCCTACATTTCTGCTTCCTTCTGTGGGTTAATGCTTCATTCTTTGTATTGAAGAGCTTTCCATTACATAGGAAAAGTATGACTTTTGTAGTACTTATATTATGTCATCTTAAATTTAATCCCAATGGGGAGATTAATAATGTCTTGCTATGTAGCCCAAACTGGCATAACCATAAAGTCTTTTGACTTAATGCATTGCTTGTTCAGTGTTCCTTGTGTCTTTTTCACCTTCTGAGGTTACAAGATCCTTTTTGTAAGCAGACAAGTCTTTTTCCTAATGGCTACTGTCCGTTTCCTCTCTCCTGGTTTTACTTTGGCTTTCTTCCCCTCAAGGGGATAGGGACATTCATCCATGATGTTTCTTTTACATTTGGATACTGGGGTTAAATAAATATTCAACCCTAAATAGGGTATCTCTTTAGGAAACTTATAAGAACTTCAGTGGGAGTACAAAAATTAATAAGAATGTCTCATTAAATTCTATTTTAGAAGTCCAACAAGATGGTGAGCAGATGAAGGAAAAGCAGAACTCTAAAAGCAAACTCATTAAGGAAGCTACATTCAAGAAGAAAAATTCAGCTAGTAAGAAAAGCAGTGAGTATGCTTTGTTAGAGGGAAAAAGTGTCAGTACAAAACATCTTTCTTCAAAAAAAAGACATCTTAAATCTAATTTGCATGGAAAGAACTTGAATCAGAATTTAGATTTACCTGATCAGATTAAAAACTCTACAAAAAAGAAACATGAAAAACACAAGAAACCATACAGCCACGCTGTATCTGATACAAAGAAAGATGAAATTTCAGCTAGAAAGAAATGTGAGAAAATACCCAACAAGTTATCTGGGAAAGGTGATAAAAATCGGACTGGCAAGAAATGTGAGAAAGTATGCCATCATAACTCTTCCCATACTAAGGAAGACAAAATTCAGATCGGAGAGAAACAGAAATCATCCAGCCGAAGTTCATCTACTAAGCCTGACAAAGCTCCAGCCTCTGGGAAACCTTATGAATGTAGTCAGTGTGGGAAGATCCTCAGCCATAAACAAGGACTCATTGACCATCAAAGAACTCATACCGGGGAGAAACCATATGAATGTAACGAGTGTGGGATAGCTTTTAGCCAAAAGTCCCACCTTGCTGTACATCAAAGAACTCACACTGGGGAAAAACCATATGAGTGTGCTCAGTGTGGCAAAGCTCATGGTCATAAACACGCCCTTACTGACCATCTAAGGATTCACACTGGAGAAAAGCCCTATGAGTGTAATGAATGTGGGAAAACTTTTAGACACAGCTCCAACCTTATGCAACATGTGAGATCTCACACAGGTGAGAAGCCTTATGAGTGTAAAGAATGTGGCAAATCCTTTAGATACAACTCATCTCTTACTGAGCACGTGAGAACACACACAGGCGAAATACCGTATGAATGCAGTGAGTGCGGCAAAGCTTTTAAGTACAGCTCATCCCTGACTAAACACATGAGAATTCACACAGGGGAGAAACCATTTGAGTGTAATGAGTGTGGGAAAACTTTTAGCAAAAAGTCCCACCTGGTTATACATCAAAGGACTCATACAAAGGAGAAACCTTACAAATGTACTGAGTGTGGAAAAGCCTTCGCACATAGCTCGTCTCTTACTTACCATATGAGAACTCATACAGGCGATTGCCCCTTTGAATGTAAGCAGTGTGGTAAGGCTTTTAAGCAAATTGAAGGCCTTAATCAACACCAGAGAGTTCATACGGGGGAGAAACCCTATGAATGTGTTGAATGTGGGAAAGCCTTTAGTCAAAAGTCACACCTCATTGTTCATCAGAGAACACACACAGGGGAGAAACCCTTTGAATGCAATGAATGTGGTAAAGCTTTCCCTGCAAAGTCCCAGCTTGTTATACACCAGAGAAGCCACACTGGAGAGAAACCCCATGAATGTAATGAATGTGGGAAAGCCTTCAAACAAATTGCCTCTCTTGTCAAACATATGAAAAGTCACTCAGACTAGCAATATCATGAGGGAAATTAATGTAGGAAGTCTGACAACTGACTGCTTTGGTCCTGTTTAACTTTAAAGATGTTTTCAATCTGATGAATATTAGAATATTAGAATATCTGATGAATTTTTTTTTAGGAAATCACTCCTTGTTAAACATGAGATAATTTGAATATGGATCTTTATATGAGAGCATTGGATGGTAATAAAATTTGATTGATCTTGATCTTAAACCTTTACAGAAGATACTGTATTTTTACACTTGTTATAAATTATCTCCATACTTAGATTAAACTTTAAAAATTGTAAATAAGGAGCCAAGGAGATATATGATCAGTAAAATGCTTGTTAAGGAAATATAGGGACCTAAATCCCATCCTTAGAATCCAGGTAAAAAGCTAGATGTGGAGTGTACTTGCAATCCCAGAAATGGAAGAATTGATGAGGGAGAGTCCCTGAGACAACCTGGCCAGCCAGACTAGCCTAATTCGCAAGCCCTAGGTCACAGGAAGAAACTTTGCTTTAAAAACAAGGTCCAGGGCTTGTGAGAAACAATGCCCAAGGCTTACACATGTGTACACACACGTGGCAATGCACACACACATTTGTGAAATGGTAACTAATTAGAGCCACAAACACGAAGCAGTTGATGAACTTTTTAGATATTGTGTACTTACGTAGTAAAATTAGTGTTTAATTTGCACTTAGGCTTACTGCGTACTTACTGCCTTGTGAGAGACACAGCATGGCCAGCTCCACTGGCGTCATCTAGCTTTCTTTGTTAATGTCCTTCAGCTTCTGAATCAGTATAAAACTTTGGTTTTTTTAGCTTGGATTGGTTTGGTTTGATTTGGTTTGGTGCTTTGTTGTTTGTTTTGTCTGAGACAACATCTCACTGTGTAGTCCTGCCTAGCCTGGAACTTGCTTTGTAGACCAGGCTGGCCCTGACCTCATAGAAATGTGCCTGTCTTTGCCTCCCAAGTCTGGAATTAAAAGCTTCAATAGAAAACTTTAAGGGTTTTTGTCTAGAAATTAATAAGAGGTTAATAAAAAGTGGAAATACAGCTGAAATGTGCTGGTAGTGAATTATACTTGTTATATTGTTAAATATGAAAATATAGATTGTTGAACAGTAAATATAGTGTGTTTTCATTGCAGACAAAAAGTGTGTGTATTTGTCTTTGTCTTTTTCTGTCTTTTTCTGTCCACACATATACACACATAAATATATATACATAGATATATGTATGTATATCCATATATTTATATATGAACAGACTTGTTTTTTTAATCTAGAAGAAAATTAATAATGGCTACCACTAAACCCAGGAGTACAGGATTGAGGTCGAACATTTTTATCATGTATACATTATATTAAAATACTTTTGTATGTACAAATTAACAGTTTAAAAGTACAACTGAGTCTATTCCACAGTATTTGACAAAGTGATATATAAGTTCTCTGCTCCTTTGTGAACAGTGCATTTGAAATGCATGGCATTAAACCTTAATACTGAGTTCACAAAGATTTTCTTACTGAACAGAGGTTTTGCTAACTTATTGGCTCCCAACTGTAACTGCTTTATTTCTTTTGTTCGCTATTAAAAATTAAAGATGACTTCTGATCACAGATGAATGGAAGTGGTATTTTATTTAATAGAGTACTGATTCACAAATGCTTTAGTGGGGGTGGGGGGTTTCAGCTGTGTCACAGCAAATGCCTCCACATCCTGTTCTTGCCCAGGGGCAGGTGTTGCTGATGGACCACTTCCTCAGCTTCCCTCAGAGTCTGCTTCAGTGCGCTTGTCAAGCATTCCAGACTTCATTAGTCTGCCTTTGTTCAGGAGACCAGTCTACCGTTAGGTGCTGTATTAGCTACAGGGTCTGTCACTGTGATAAAAAAACAAATTGGGGAAAAAAAGGTTTATTTCTTCTTGCAGCTCACAGCTCATCATCCAGGGCAGGAACCTAGAAGTAAGAGCTGAAGCAGAGCCCAGAGAGGAGAGCTGCTTACTGGCTTGCTTCTCAGAGCTTGCTCAGCCTGCTTTATTGTGCACAGTCAGGACTATCAGCCAGGGATAGCACCGCCTACAGTAAGCTGGGCACTCTCACACCCACACAATAAGCACTAAACAAGCAGGTGATTAAATGCCCTCTACAAATAATTCACTCTTGTTCTTCCTAACTTCCTCATTTCAGAGAACAGGAAAGTATAAAGATGGATATGCATACATTATACATGCCTACAATAATCACATACATGGTTATTTTATAAAACTGTGTTTTTCAGTTTTTCTCTTACCCTAGCTAGCATTAAAATAATCAAGACAACACAGTAACTAAGCAGTTATTACTCTGCTCTTAACCCTCTAAGCTGGTTTGGTGTCCTCCCAAAATAGATCCCATAAACACTTGCACTTTGTGGCTTTCCTGATCCAGCTTTTCTCTCTCATCTCTCCTGGACCTCTGCCCTTGGCTGAATCCCCTACTTCCTCCTCTAACTTCTCCCCTGTTCAGTGACTGGCTGTAAGCTGCTTTATTGGCATATCAGGGGACAATTGGAGAGCAGTGTTTACACAACATTGAGGCAGAAGAGCCTCAGAACAAGGATTGCAACCAGATATGGGGGGGAAGGGGTACAGAAATCAGCATTTGATTAACACAATAACTTTGTTCTACACATACACACACACACACACACACACACACACACACGTGAGCAGTGAAAAAATAGGGTCTAAACCTCTAAACCAAAAATATGGAAACTTTTAGTGACCAAAGTTGCCTGAGGGATTTGGTAGGACACTAACTTCCACCCCCACCCCCCACCCCCCCTTTGGTTTTTCTGTGCAGCCCTGGCTGTCCTGGAACTCACTGTGTAAATGAGGCTGGCCTTGAACTCAGAGATCAGCCTGCCTCTCTAGTGCTGGGGTTAAAAGCATGTGCCACCAACACCCAGCTGTTGGTACTAACATTTTAAATATAAATCTTTGGATTTCCCCAGATGTTCCAGAACTTACTTCATTTTCCTTCTACATCCCAGAACAAGAGGGGCAGGCCATTTATGTCCTATCTGTGGGCTTGATGTAACCTAACCTGGAGCCACTAATCTTGCTACACAAAGTGGACGGTCAGTTGTGTTACCTGAAGCTCCGTGCATTGGCTCTTCCCTAGCCGGTGTCACTGAGAAGCATCCTTGATGGGAGGCTCAAGCACAGCACCCATTTTTAGTTATCCTCCCAGCACCTCCAGCTCCTGCAGCAGAGAACTCCAGATTTCTCCCCCTCGAGTTAACTGTCAGAGTTCTCTCAGTAACTGCAGATATGACTGCACAGAGGTTCTAACGTATCTGTGACAGATGGGCACTGTGCTTGCTTGCATCTTTGTTGTCTAGAATGTTTGTTTTTTTTTTTTTTGAAACCAAAGCTTCTATTCTTCAATGTTCTAAAGTGCAGACTCAGAAAGTTTACACTAAAGAAGACCTCTTAGCTGGCAGTGGTGTCAAACACCTTCAATCCCAGCACTTGGAGAGGCAGGACAGGCGGATCTCTGCGAGTTTGAGGCCAGCCTGGTCTACAGGGGGAGTTCCAGGACAGCCAGGGCTGTAGTGTGATTTGTCTTAGGTGCCTTGCCCTTTAAATGAGCCCCTGTTGCTAGTCAGTTGGCCCTGTGGAAATTTTTCAAAATTGGGACTGCTTGACCCAATGACCTTCAGTGTTGGATATTTAAAAAAGCCAACAGAGGCTGAGAAAGGGGATTGGGTAGAGTGAGAAGACAAGGCAGGTGGACTAGCACAGTGAGCTAGCAGGAAAAGGCAGTTGGTTCAGAAGATATTGTTAGGAGACAGTTGAGCTAGGAGAAGCTGAGCTGAGCTGATTGGCTAGAACAGTTGTTATAGTTTGGAGCTGCTAGTATTGGGAAAACTGGGAGAAGGGACTGTTTAAGCACAATGTTGGGGAACTGAGGGAGGAATAGTTGGGAGAAACATTTGGAGGGCCTGAGCTGGAAACTGGCAGGAACAGTTGGGAAAGAAATTAGATTCATGGATTGTTTTAAAAACAAAATCTCAATCATTTGATTTTTACCAATAAAGAGTTGGGAGCCAGATGTTGGGGTGAAAAACTACTAGCTCAGAGAGGCAGAGAAAGCACCCAGCTGATCTTCCTACTCAGCAGATGAGCCAGAAAAAAAAATATTTTTTTACTCATCTCCCATCCCAGAAGGAAAAAGGCAAAAAGCCCCTTCTTCACACTGTCTTAAATATCCTCTCAATGTCCCTCCTTTCTGTTTACTCCCTGACAGCTGGCTGCTTGGCCTAGGGTTGACTTTATTTAATCCTGTTTACAGAAAGCTCTTTGATTAAAGGTGTGCACTAGGGCTGAGCCACACCACAAGTACCTGTTTACAGTAAACAGAAAGCACTTGGGTTAAAGGTGTGTGTTAGGACTGAGCCACACCAAACAAGAAACAGGTTTTTACAATTCAGAATCTTGGGATTCACAATGGGATCAAATATTCTGCCTCAAAGGATCTCTCTTTCCTCTCTATTCTTCTTTCTTTCCTATCTAGTGTCAGGGGGTCAAACTGAGGGGAATAAAGGGTGGGGAAAAAGAACCCACAGAGTAGCAATGACAAGCTACACTGGGCTACACTGAGAAAGCTTGTCTGGGGGGTGGGGTGGGGAGAAGAGCTCTCTAAGATTCAGGATATAGGTCTGGAGAGATGGCTCGGTGGCGAACAGCCTTGGATTCTCTTCCAGAGGATCTGGGTCTGAGTCCCAGCAGTCACATGGCAGCTCACAACTGCAACTCCTGTTCCAGGGGATCCAATAGCTGCCTCTGTCCAACATGGGGACCAGACACACCCATCATGCACAAACATATACACAGACAACAAACACCCACACATGTAAAAATAGTTTTTTTAAAAAAAGATTAAAAACCAAATGGATTTTCTGTGCCCACTCCCACTCTGAATAATGACATGGAGACATTTATTTATAACAGCTTTAGGCTTTTAGCTTATGCTTGTTCCTAACCAGCTCTGCTAAGCTGTGTTAACCCATTTATATTAATCTATGTTCTGGCATGTGTCTTACTACCTCTCCTCAGTGGCATACATCTGACCTCCTCCCTGTCGGTAGGAGGATTATCTCTCAGAATCCCTATCTCTGGTGCTCCCAAGAAATTCCCATTTTAGAGTTTAAAATAAAGTTGAAATAGAAGAGTCTAATGAAGAAAGAATTTAATTAAAGGGATATATTCGAATAGAATGCAAATAAGATCTATGGGCTGGAAAATAGAAAAGTAATCATGTACAGGAAAAAAATATATATATAAAGAAATCACAGCACTCAGGTTCTTTTTCTTTTTTAAGACAGACTTTCTCTGTGCAACCTTGGCTGTCCTGGACTCCCTTTGTAGACCAGCCTGGCTTCGAACTCACAGAGATCCTTCCTCTGCCTCCTTGAGTGAGCCACTTCACTTGGTGTGCCCAGGTTTTTAAAGAGGAAGAGCAAACAGGCAAAAATACACCTGTGGTGGCTCTTCTTGCTTGTTAACTTGACAGTATCGGGAATTACCCGAACCCGGGAAGCCGGGTACCCCTGTGAGAGACTTTTTTCCTCAGTTAAATCATCTGAAAGAGGAGGAAGCACTTTAACTCTGGATCTTTGGGAAAGGGTGGGAGACAATCTTTAATCTGGCCCGTACTTCCTGGTACCAATCCTTTCATGTCCTCTACAAAGGACATGAAAGAAGGCTGCTTGCTCTCTCTCTGCTTGCTCTCATGGGCAAGTTTATTCCTTCACTGTCATTAGAGCCTACTTTTTCAGGATTCTAGCTCATACCAAAGATCAGCTGAGACGCCCAGTCTCATGGACTGCACAGCTACTGGATTCTAGGGCCCTCCATTGGCAGACAACCATTGCTGGATTAGCTGGATTAGCCATGAGCCATTCTAGTAAATCTCTCTCTCTCCCCCTCCCTACTTCCCCCCACACAGACAGTTGTATGTATACTGTAGGTTTTGTCCCTCTAGAGAATCCCACCTAAATAAACTACCACAAAGGCATTTACACTTGTTTTGTACTGGGTAAGAAATGATGAGAGCACTTGGAAAGAAACGAACAGAAAAATGTCTTGCAATGCCATAAAAGCAAATACAAACTGAAGGACTGAAAACAAGTCTCCCTATGGAGAAAAAGCTCAGACTATCTAAAACAAATTCAGTGGAAGTCTCTAATGTCACAGATAAGAGTAGAGCTTGCTGGAGGTCAGCGGTAAGTTGTCGGTAACTGTGACAACCCTAAGCACTCAAAGAACAAAAGAAAAGAATGTAACTCAATGACTAAAATAACTGTAACCGTCTTAGTTAGGATTTCTATTGCTATGACTAACATCAGACAAAAAAAAAAAAAAAAAAAAAAGCTAGTTAGGGAGAAAGGGCTTTATTTGGCTTACACTTCAGATTAACATCCACCACTGTTGGAGGAACTCGAGCAAGACTGGAACTTGGAGGCAGGAGCTGCTTTGGAGGCCTTGGATGGGTGCTGTTTATTGGCCTGCTTCACATGGTTCCTTCAGCCTGCTTTCTTACAGAACCCAGGACCACCAGCCCAGGGAT